TCTAGACCCTTCCAGAGCTGAGATATCAAAATTCAAAATTTTCGCCCGAAAAAAAAACGACAGTGTTACCCCTTTCTTTTTTTTTCATTTTTTCGGCGAAAAATTAAGTTTCTCCAATCTTCTCAAAACTCTGGATTATGATAGAGGGCCACGAGACTTTGACCTGAGTGCAAAAATGGAGGCTCTAGACCCTTCCCAGAGCTGAGATATCGAAATTCAAAATTTCGACCCGAAAAAAAAAACGACAGTGTTACCCCTTTCGTTTTTTTTTCATTTTTGGGCGAAAATTAAAGTTTCTCCAATCTTCTCAAAACTCTGGATTATGATAGAGGGCTGTGAGACTTTGACCTGAGTGCAAAAAAGGAAGGCTCTAGACCCTTCCAGAGCTGAGATATCGAAATTCAAAATTTCGACCCGAAAAAAAAAAACGACAGTGTTACCCCTTTCGTTTTTTTTTTTTTTTCGTTTTTGGGCAAAAAATAAGTTTCTCCAATCTTCTCAAAACTCTGGATTATGATAGAGGGCTGTGAGACTTTGACCTGAGTGCAAAAATGGAAGGCTCTAGACCCTTCCAGAGCTGAGATATCGAAATTCAAAATTCGACCCGAAAAAAAAAAAAACGACAGTGTTACCCCTTTCGTTTTTTTTTTTTGGGCGAAAAATTAAGTTTCTCCAATCTTCTCAAAACTCTGGATTATGATAGAGGGCTGTGAGACTTTGACCTGAGTGCAAAAATGGAGGCTCTAGACCCTTCCAGAGCTGAGATATCGAAATTCAAAATTTCGACCCGAAAAAAAAACGACAGTGTTACCCCTTTTCGTTTTTTTTCATTTTGGGCGAAAAATTAAGTTTCTCCAATCTTCTCAAAACTCTGGATTATGATAGAGGGCTGTGAGACTTTGACCTGAGTGCAAAAATGGAGGCTCTAGACCCTTCCAGAGCTGAGATATCAAAATTCAAAATTTCGACCCGAAAAAAAAAACGACAGTGTTACCCCTTTTTTTTTTTTTTTTTTGGGCGAAAAATTAAGTTTCTCCAATCTTCTCAAAACTCTGGATTATGATAGAGGGCCATGAGACTTTGACCTGAGTGCAAAAATGGAGGCTCTAGACCCTTCCAGAGCTGAGATATCGAAATTCAAAATTTCGACCCGAAAAAAAAACGACAGTGTTACCCCTTTCGTTTTTTTTCGATTTTGGGCGAAAAATTAAGTTTCTCCAATCTTCTCAAAACTCTGGATTATGATAGAGGGCCGTGAGACTTTGACCTGAGTGCAAAAATGGAGGCTCTAGACCCTTCCAGAGCTGAGATATCGAAATTCAAAATTTCGACCCGAAAAAAAAAACGACAGTGTTACCCCTTTCGTTTTTTTTCGTTTTTGGGCGAAAAATTAAGTTTCTCCAATCTTCTCAAAACTCTGGATTATGATAGAGGGCTGTGAGACTTTGACCTGAGTGCAAAAATGGAGGCTCTAGACCCTTCCAGAGCTGAGATATCGAAATTCAAAATTTCGACCCGAAAAAAAAACGACAGTGTTACCCCTTTCGTTTTTTTTTTCGGCGAAAAATTAAGTTTCTCCAATCTTCTCAAAACTCTGGATTCTGATAGAGGGCCACGAGACTTTGACCTGAGTGCAAAAATGGAGGCTCTAGACCCTTCCAGAGCTGAGATATCGAAATTCAAAATTTCGACCCGAAAAAAAAAACGACAGTGTTACCCCTTTCGTTTTTTTTTCTTTTTTGGGCGAAAAATTAAGTTTCTCCAATCTTCTCAAAACTCTGGATTCTGATAGAGGGCCACGAGACTTTGACCTGAGTGCAAAAATGGAGGCTCTAGACCCTTCCAGAGCTGAGATATCGAAATTCAAAATTTCGACCCGAAAAAAAAAACGACAGTGTTACCCCTTTCGTTTTTTTTTTTCGGGCGAAAAATTAAGTTTCTCCAATCTTCTCAAAACTCTGGATTCTGATAGAGGGCCATGAGACTTTGACCTGAGTGCAAAAATGGAGGCTCTAGACCCTTCCAGAGCTGAGATATCAAAATTCAAAATTTCGACCCGAAAAAAAAAACGACAGTGTTACCCCTTTCGTTTTTTTTCGTTTTGGGCGAAAAATTAAGTTTCTCCAATCTTCTCAAAACTCTGGATTATGATAGAGGGCTGTGAGACTTTGACCTGAGTGCAAAAATGGAGGCTCTAGACCCTTCCAGAGCTGAGATATCGAAATTCAAAATTTCGACCCGAAAAAAAAAAACGACAGTGTTACCCCTTTCGTTTTTTTTCGTTTTTGGGCGAAAAATTAAGTTTCTCCAATCTTCTCAAAACTCTGGATTATGATAGAGGGCTGTGAGACTTTGACCTGAGTGCAAAAATGGAGGCTCTAGACCCTTCCAGAGCTGAGATATCGAAACTCAAAATTTCGACCCGAAAAAAAAAACGACAGTGTTACCCCTTTCGTTTTTTTTTTTTTTGGGCGAAAAATTAAGTTTCTCCAATCTTCTCAAAACTCTGGATTATGATAGAGGGCCACGAGACTTTGACCTGAGTGCAAAAATGGAGGCTCTAGACCCTTCCAGAGCTGAGATATCGAAATTCAAAATTTCGACCCGAAAAAAAAAACGACAGTGTTACCCCTTTTTTTTTTTTTTTTTTTTGGGCGAAAAATTAAGTTTCTCCAATCTTCTCAAAACTCTGGATTATGATAGAGGGCCACGAGACTTTGACCTGAGTGCAAAAATGGAGGCTCTAGACCCTTCCAGAGCTGAGATATCGAAATTCAAAATTTCGACCCGAAAAAAAACCGACAGTGTTACCCCTTTCGTTTTTTTCCGTTTTCGGGCGAAAAATTAAGTTTCTCCAATCTTCTCAAAACTCTGGATTATGATAGAGGGCCACGAGACTTTGACCTGAGTGCAAAAATGGAGGCTCTAGACCCTTCCAGAGCTGAGATATCGAAATTCAAAATTTCGACCCGAAAAAAAAAAACGACAGTGTTACCCTTTCGTTTTTTTTTTTTCGTTTTTGGGCGAAAAATTAAGTTTCTCCAATCTTCTCAAAACTCTGGATTATGATAGAGGGCTGTGAGACTTTGACCTG